TAACAATTGTGAATTCATTAAATTGCACAGGACTTTAAAATTCACAAAAAAAGTTAATTGAAACAAAAATATTTCATATTAATAATGTGAATTGACTACGCATTATATGTGATTTATACGCTTATAAGTGATTTTCCGTAAAATCTTATAAAACATTTAGTCACTTTTCATGGCATTATTTGACACAACTATATTAGTACGTCTCAGGGCAAGTGAAATAATAAGCTCTCCTTTCTAAATCTTCATATCAGTCAGCAAGTCTGCTTAGTTTTCTTATGACGAAGAAAAATACTTTCATCTAACTAACTTTCAACTTACATTGAGGATTTAATTCAATATAATTTCACGACTTTAACTAAGAATCCCTCAGGATATTTGGCTTGGTAATTCGAAATAAAAGAAAAAAATACTTCGTTCGACGTCTTTAGCCCAACTTCGAAAATGGTAAGGCTTAGCTCGAGACGGCTGTATTGAGAATTTTCAGGAAGATCCTACTGCCACCAAAAAGAAATCGTCCACGAGAGCTTGTATACTGGTACAAATGGCTGTTTGAAAATAAAGCAAGAGCATATTAGCAGTCACGTTGTTAAGAACGGTATACAGATGTAAGCTTTACGAGAAACCACAATTAACAAGATGCTTCAGTTTATCATAGTCTACCGATACTAGACAATTGCGTCTCCTAGGTAGTCAGTAATTAGCATAGTTACAGACTACAAAGCACCAGGTCACAATGGAGATTTGGAATCTCCATGAAAATTGTGGGATTATGTGTTCATAGTTACATTTGTTAGCGTGTAGATTACTCAGAAGGCTACGAACTGCATGATGTATGCATTTCCCAGCTTTTAAACTGTAATGCTTCTTGCGATTACGATCAGTTCGATGTAAGTGGTAATGCAAAAGTTTAACTTTTATATTTCGTAGGTTCTTTCCCAGTCACATAACAGGCAGGTAGGGACCATATGAAGCTGGTACGTTAATTACTCTCTTCTTTCTAAGAAGAAGCATAATTTCTTTTCCTCTCGGAATTTGCTACATGATAATATCATCCAGCATGTTCAGTTTAAACATTTCTTTTTCTGAAGGTCTTACAATATTGAGTATTACTACGGTTGCTGAAAGTGACTCTGATGTGGGGTCAGTACGAGAAACATTAGCATTACAATGAGATACATCTCATTTAAAAGGATGCCATTATGCTCATATATTTATCAACTTGATTTGAAGATTTGAACTAGCTTAAACATGTCATTATGTTGTAGAAAGACATCGTTCAATCTTCATACTGCCAAGTGATAAAGAAAACCTGCTTTTAAAGGAAAAATATAGTCTTTACATCCAACTGAGTTTATAGGCAACATTATAAACAATGTAAAACATTTCCGCTAGTCTTGAATGGTTGAGAAAAGTAACCACAAAGCATAATTATGTACACTGCCTTTCCTCTAACAGCTAAATTTTCAATGAAAATGTTTCTTATATAAAGTGTAATACAAATTTTTCAAGTACTTTTATATCAGTTTAAAGCTTAAATAATACAGCTTAGCACTGCAAAAGCAGTTCACATAGACGTGCTTTCATCTAGAAAGTAAGCATGATATTTATAGCATAAAACAACTTTATGGTCAACTAAAATCTTATTGTAATTCTATCCAAATTTTATCAAAAACTTCTACACAGGCATTTAGTATTTCCCTTGATTTTTCTAATTGTTCTTTAATTTATGGAAACCAGAGTATTAGATCAGCATCTTATTTGAATTCAAAACCAGGTATTTTATAGTTTTGCAGCGTTAAGCCTACTTTATGCAGCTATCTCTGTTATCTGTTTATTACTATGTGCATCAAATTAAATCAAATTTTCTATCTGTTGCTCATTATTTCATTTTAGAAATGTTCGGTTCGTGCTTGGATTAAACTCACTTATGAGAAATAAGAATGTGTTCCATGTAAACAAGATATTTTTTTTGATCAAGTATTCTTTATCCACTGTGAATTTTGTACTTAGATATTATTAACTCTTTAATGTGATTTTCTGTCTCACACCTGAATTTAATTTAAGGAAAGAATTCACTCCTGAGTATGTAAAAATATATTAAGTATTTTTCTAGCATTGTGATGCTCTCTAAATTATACCTGACGATACCTTTTACCCAATGTTATCTTTTCCGGTTTCACATGATGACTGTTCTATAGGCCATCACTGCGTTTCATTTGATCAAATCCTTCGATTATGCTGGTTTTAAGAAAAATTTGTGTATGGTAAACTATATCAATATTCGAATTATACACTAGTTTATTTCTTAAAGATACTGAGCGCGAACATTAGTTTATTTTTAAAGACATTATGTCCTCATTAATAAACGTCCACCATATCAAAGATAATACATCAATTTTAGTTTGATATAACATGGTGCCTGATCGTACTTAAAAAAATAATTATTTAATTTAGTCCTGTTTCATACTCGGTGTTAAAATATATTGATTCAAATAATTCAGACTGAATAAATATGAACAGGTTACTGATGCACAAAAGACGAATTTGTTTATTCACACCCTAAATTTGTCGACTATGAATGCCAAACAAGGAAATGTTAAGCAAGAAAACATTAAAATCTTCGTAAAACGAATAAAACAGAGTCGGAGTTTTAAATCGCTGGTGATTTTCCAAGCCCTATATATTGAGACAGGATTAGATTGAGCAGAAAATGCAGTTATCTAAGAATAGCTTCTTTGTATCTTTGTCTCCGTTGCTCACGAAAAAGAGAGAAAGGGGTTAGCGTCGTCAACTGTTCACAGACAATTCTTTTGGGGGCAAGGGGAGGTCCGAAATATAAATATGCTTTAAAATGCTTTGCTGATTTCATATTATGTAAATAACCTCGATTCCGTTAAAAGGTCAAGTCAATATTTTCATTTTATTAACGGAAAACTAATTTCTCATTATCCATGAGCAATTCGACGTCCACAGAGTGTAAAGCAACCTAATAACAGATATTGTAGTTTCCATTTAAATGATGCATACTTCATTGGGAATTTTTGTTTCTGAAATAATAGTATAATAAAAAAACCGAGAAGAAGGGTTATTAAAACTGTAATAATAAATAATATTGATGAAAAAGTGTTCAAATTATCATTTAAATATTAATTAATAAGACTAATGTTCATATTAAAAAATTATTTCAATATTGATTGTCGAGAAACTCAGTTCTAATCACTAATATCAAAATGTTATTTGTAAGCGAAATTTTCCTTTAAGTTACATGCATTTCGGAGCTGTGAAATGAAATTCTGAAAACAGTTATCATATTTACATTTACCACAACAGTCATCACATTACATGAATTTACTGCTTTTTCAGAATCTTCGTTTATTCAGCTTTTTTATATAAATATTGAGCATGCATTAAGTTTACATAATTATTAATAAGTTTATGACTTCCCTTTAAAAAAAAGGTTTACCTAATTTTTAAAATACAGCCAATCAATCAATTTAAGCTTTATATGTGATTTTAACTTTGGATTTCAAATACCTGATATTGTTTATTTTAATATTGAAATTTTTTTTGTAAATTTTCTTTGTTCAAATATTTCAACTTCTATAAAGTTAACAGCACACCATTTTCATCCACATTAAAACAAGAACCCAATTAAGTGCAGACTGTCAGAGTAAATGCTGGGTAAATTTAGCAGTTATTTTTGTACGTACTAAAGTAAGATGCTTCGAGACTGGAGTTATGCCAGCATGACACAACTTAAACGGAACTTACTAAGGCAAGAAGATTGATTTTTGAATATGTGAAAGAATATTGTTTTGAAAGATGTTCTGGAACTTTTGTAGTAAAGGTTATAGCGAAGAATATAATTCACAACCTCATTTGCTCTTGTCAGAGGAAATATAACTGAAGAAATAAAATAAAGTGCTTATGTAGGTAAATAGTTACAAGAAATTTTCGTTTGAGAGCATGCGCTTTTTTGAGATACCTTTACGCTCTAAAGACCATTTACTGAAAGACATACCATCCTTTATAATTACCCCTAGAAAAAAATTTTGGTCTTCGATTTGAAGCTTTTGTACTTGAATAGTTGTTGCATATATTTTAGGATTTACCTATATATTTAAAAATTTATTGATTAAAAACGTACTGTATGCTTTTCCTTAGACGAACAATTGCAGCACTTCCAACAAGCATCAACTCGTAAATTTCAAATTACCTTAAGTTCTGGGAACAGAAAAAGAAGCAAAACTGAGAATATCTAAATATCCCAATGAATAAACAGTAAATAAGTAAATAATCATTTGCAGAAAAATAAACTAAAATCTAATTTTGAGGGAACTGCATTTTAGTTAAATAACAGAAATATTTTGAAACTTATTTAAAATTTCAAACAAATACTGAACATTGAATCTACGAAACATGATGTTTAATAGGCTCATTAATAACAACAACAATATAGAAAAATCGGAAATCCGATTTCTTTAGAATAAATGTAAGCAATAAGCTGTTTATTATATATAATTTAAACAATGATGCATTCTCATCACATAGTTTAGTACAAAAAAAGTTCGATTTAATAGCAATTTTTTTTTCTTTGACTGTTCATGAAACTCCGGAATAGTAAAATCTTCCGTTTATTCATTGAAGAAATTTTAAAATTTCAATAATAAAATTTTCAAAAATTTTCGGAATTTGATAATTTTATTTTCATTTATCAGAACTGACTTTATTAAGTTTTTAGCATTAAACCAATTAAAAACATTAATTGTAAGATCAAAAAAAGAACGTGTTGAATTATTCTTTCAGTGGTAATTAATTAATTCTTGTAACTGACTTTTTTATTATTAATTTGTACTAGTTTCCGCATTATCAGTACTAAAGTAAGAGTTTGCCAGTTTCACAGTACAATTATGAATCCTTTGAGGCTCTTAATAGCTCTATAAATAAATTACAGTATTTGACAATGTGCTGCTTTAAATAGAAAGTTGAGACTTTCTTACCTTTAACAAAAGAAGATGATGCTACAAATATCACAAAAAGTAATCCTGTCATTGAAATCTTCATTTTGATTTGCTTATGCAGCAGTTTATAAGAACAGCCAATCAAAGTGAACGCAGGGTATTTGAAACGTGCAGGTACATATATTTATACACGTGAGAGAAAATGACATGTATATATAACAAATGAAGTTGAAGAACTTGCCAAAGAAGTAATTGAACACATGAGTACTTTGTAACTTCTATTAAATGGCAAATATTAAGCCGTTTTATTCATTTCCTGTGACAAAATTTAAATGCAAATAAGTCCTCAAAATGATATTGTCCACCTGAATATCGAACATATTTTCTGTTTCAAGCAAATGTCAGAAAGATAACATATCCACTTCCCATGTTTTTACAGAACTGATTTAAACAAGTGCTGCCATATTTTCCCTGCTTGAATGCAACATCTTATGTGCAGATCTGAGATACCTGGTCCTGGCATCCCATCTTAGGAGGAGGAGGGAGAGAGAAGTGAGAAAGTTTGGCAATGTTGCAAGTCGTCTCGACGGATGCTTCTTCACCTGCCCTCATCTGATTTTACTAAGCAAAAGTAAGAGAATGTTACTTTCTAACAAAAGTCGCCGTTCTCAGCAGGAAAGTGCTATTTCTTTACAAAAGTCACTCTAGTCATCCCTTCATTTTTCTATTTAATTAGAAATGCAAGAAAAAATTTCTATTTAATTTAGAGAAAATGAATCATGAGAAATTACAACAAATGAAACTTAGGATTTAATTATGCAACAATTTTATTTTTGACAACAATATTTATACACTCAGAACCATTTTTTATTATACTTATTTATTTCGACCAGAACAGATTAATAGCTGTAAACTTTATTTTTTAATGATTTAGTATAGCGGATGATTTAATAATGTTTTTATATTCCAGGTTATGTACAATTAAATTGTACAACACTTGATTATACAACACTTGATAGCTGTCTGCCTAAGAGAAAGGAGGAGGACTTTATGTTAACAACATTGCTAGTCCCGTTAGACATAGGAAAACCATCGAAAATGGTCATGCAGCCAGACACTCCACGGGGATTTGAACCTTGATCAAACTACCAACTTGAGACGTTTTATCTGCTTTCCCTGAATGAAGCACCTTCGTTGAGAAAAAACACCTTAAAACAAAAACAACTCATATTTACGTTACAGAAAGCTGAAACCATGCCCAAGTTTCTATCAAAAATTATACAGTATAAAAATAGCCTATTTTCTAAATTTTCATTTGCTATGGATTAAATAAATTACTTAATAAGCAGCGACCCTTCATCCAAACATGAGAAATAAAGGAAAAGTGAAACATGAAAGTTGTTATCAAATTGAAACAAATAAATATTATTAATTTCGAGTAAAAATAAGAACCTCACAATGTGTTTGGATTTATTTGTTTAAAATTTTATAACAACATTTCGAAGTAACATCGATGCAAACTTCAGGCCAAAAACATAAATAAACGAAATTAATAATGTGGCTTAAAACAGTTGACAAAAATAAAGAAGATAAATTCAATAGCAAATAAATTATTAAACAAATAAACACCAAAAATATTAAACAAATCGTAAATAATTTTAAAATAAATTAAAACTTACTCAATCATAGAGGGAAACAAATGCAGACCTTAAGCAATTTTAAATTATTTTTATATACTTAAATCAAAATGTACAAGAAACAAAGGCGGATGAGACTTAAACTGTGTAAAAATAAATCAAAACAAATGCAAATATACGCCTTGAAAAAAAAGGGGGGAAGGCAGTTGTATATCTCCCTATTTACTGGACCGATTATCGAAATTTAACTTGCGTTTTCCATGTCTCGAAAGCACGACTTAAGATATATATTAAATTTATATATAGAAATATTCTAACGCAGGTAGTTTGACACAAAACAGGACTTTTTCTGAATTGGCATGCCCTTTTTTTCATATTTCGATTCTAAAAATAGTCATCGTTTATACTTTCAAATAATTTTAACAAAGTGCGTAAACCACATTTGGCGTTATTATCGCTTATAACAAATATGCTAAATTTCAAAACGCGCCAATAGGTAAATTCATGTAAAAAAGTTTGAATAAAAAAACTCTAATTTTTTTGCAGGTGCGCCTAGAAATACATCTACTTTAAGATGATGGTAAAAATTTGATAGGTTATAATTCAAATTTTTTTTCGAAAAATTTATAAAAATTCCTTAAAAATGCAAATTCTAAAAATAAATCATAAAAGATGGGCAAATTTTGTTTGGAATGAACCTAAATTTCGAAATGTGAAAGAAAGAATCATTTAAGTTTAATAAAAAAAGAGGTATTAACAAATATATAACCAAATTCAATTAACATTGAGGAGCTAAAATTTTTTAAAATCTACTCGTGCGATTTTTACAAAACTTGGCAGTTTGGCATAATTTAAGTCGTAGAATCGAAATATAGAAAAAAATTGGAATGTAATTTCAGAAAAAGTCCGATTTTGTATCAAAATACCTATAGTAGAACAACGTTATATATAAATCTAATACATGTCTTATGTCGCGCTTTCGAGACATGAAAAACGCAAGTGAAATTCGTCAATCAGATCAGTAGAACAGAGAGATATAGAACTGTCCCCCCCTTATTTTTCCCCGAAATGTACCTTCTTTTAAAATGATTGAACTCCGTCTCACTTTGTGGATAATATGCAGGATGAGTAAAATCGCTGGTTTTCTATTTGATTTTTAACCCTGGCCTTACTTCACTAAATTTCTTCCCATAGGGCTTTCATAAGAATGAAATTTACTGAGAGAGAATAGATAATTTTGACCTGAGCAACTGCAAGCTTTGCGTTTAATGTCCTTGCAGAATACTGATTGAAACTGTATAACGTTGTACGAGTAACTTCTGTCTGTTAACGATATACATGTTGAAACTTATTAATTTTGCGCGGAAGCTTTGTGTATGAATTAAATGCAATTTCAGTCCATTTGAATCATGCATGCTTCTTAAAGATTTCATGAAATCCCAAAAGTCATTTTCACGGGGTCCTGTTTTTGGTGGATTTTAGTATTGCAAATGACCAATGATATACACTATGAAAACTGATAAGTTTGCAAATGCTTGTCATCAAAATCTTTATTCTATTGCCTATTTTTTCCGTAAGATTTAATTATTGTCGTTGGTGCTAAATTATACTGAAATATTTAACAACAATTTATGGCAATAAAGAGTATAAAATATTTCTTACTTGTACTTACGCGCATTTTAATGACATCGTTTACAATTTTTTATCTTTTAACAGTATATGCTCTGAACATAATTTAAAATTTATTTAGTTTATCATATATTCAACTGGTATAGGCATTTGATATTTTACGATAATTAAGAACTACTTTCAATATCATATATTACGTATACAGGTATTACGTTATTATATATTACGTACATAGATAGGAAGTCATTTCGTTTCATTTGTACTTCCAGTTTATGAATAAGTGCCTCATCGTAAAAATTTCTAAATGATTATCTAATGCGTTATTTTTTATAAAAGTATTATCAATGCAATTAAAATTAAAATGTCTTTCATATTTGTTTAAATATTATGCTTGAGATATCAAAGCAGAAAATGCCACGCATTTGACGGTTTTTGGATGGCAATATATCAGAAGAGAATGTTTTCTTTAAGAGCGATAGTATTAGTTTATTGGTAGTAAGAAAAACGGTGTTTATTTATATATTTCATAAAAACATTAAAGATTATCTTAAAGAAAGTTAATGAAAAGCTATAATTTGTTTTGTATGAAATTTCGTAATTAAAGTTGTTATCTTGATTCATATTACTAGCATATGACATACAAATAATATTGCATTAATGCATGTTTTATATACATGTGCACATGTATGCATTAAAATTCTTCCGACCCAAGATGTTATCCGAAATAGAAACTTCACAATGAAGTTGTAGACCTCAAACTCCAACAGGATAAAAAAATAGCAAATACAATATATAACGAATAAATAGTATCAAAGTGCATTTTTATAGTCCTAGTTGCTATATTCTATATGTAAACAAGAAATAAGTACTATCAAAATAATGAATGCTTCAATAATATGATGTTAAAAATTTCAGATAGCGAAAAAAAATACAAAAAACTACCTGAAATTCTTAGAACAGTAAATTACCAGTTTTGGGGAGTTCCAAATGGTGTAACCACTGAATAGGTCTTTTAAGTGTACCTGAAGATATTTTAGTGTTATACTTCCTAACCTTGGATTACGACCTCTATGAAGTTCCATCAGCTTTTTCTAGATTCGACAACTGTGGGGGTAATTTATCATCACCTATTAAAACTTCCTCATTTACATTAAATTTATTAGTTACATTAATGGGTTTAACATAACTTACATTATGTAATTGGAGAAGATACTCTCTGTTCCACCTTCTCCAAAAATCGCTGAAAATTTTTCACAGTACAAATATTTTTAGAACATAAAATTACTTTATTATTTGAAATATTTCTTCTGCATGACCAGCCTAGTGAGGTAAGGACGTTAGCCATTTTCCTCTTGGAAAATGAGCAGGGGTGAAAGTTAATGATTCTGACTTTTAAACGTTAAATACTGACAGTATTAAACGCGCCTAATGGCCTAGAAAAGATAAGTATTACTAAGTCTAGAATCTGAAATTAAGATAAGTCTAGAATCTGAAATTAAGATAATTCTAGAATTTGAAATGGATTCTATTTCCTTCAAAATAGTTCCAAATTCTTCAATAGAAACCGAGGTCTTTTCTAATACCTTTCTCAAAACAATTTTTGTAGTTTAAAACATTCTTCCCCAGTATCCATCCCCCCTAGCTATTCTTTCAACTATGAAATGCTATGCTATTCCCTTTATTTAAAAAAAATATTTTTTACATATAAATCAGTAATATCTGTATGCATGTAATTTCTTCAGTTCTACATGTATTCCCTTGAAAGTCTTGATAGTGTCAGAATTAATAATTCGCCTGTCACCTCTTCTTAATGTAAATCAATGAAATGCCAGAAGGAAATGTTTGACGCTCAGGTTAGATACAACTTCATGAAGAATTGGTGGGTAACTGCGCAAGTAAATAATCAGATGAAGATATTATAAATTATTTTGTAAATAAGAGACCAATAAAAGTAATTTATGTAATTTTAAACAGACTAGCTTCATGGATTCCGTCAGCTGATAGTGGAGCAACTACCTGATTGCATTGCTGGGCCGTAAAACCTTCCCAGATATATGAACAACCAGTGGCTCGGAATTAAATACGAGCTGAGCTCCCAGCGTTTAGTGGATGTTAGATTAGGTTATCTGAACATGGTAAAGCACCCGAGGGCTATTATCTAAGGGAAGAGATGGCTTCATGAAGAACTTTCTAAGAGAAACTAATATAATTAACAGTATCCTTTTACCACATATAAGGAAACTACAAAACCAGTTCAGTATCCTTTTACCACGTATAAGGAAACCACAAAAACCAACTATACAGTCAGCCAATTCGCCTATATTCGAATCCAGGAAGCACTATATTCCAATCCAGGAAGTATTCAGTAGACTTTAATTGTTAGGACCCTGGTGGGAATTGGGATGTTTTATCGAACATTAGATAACTGTACAAATTTAAAATTGTTTTCAAATTTAATTTAGAGGTTCTTTTTTTAACAAAAGTTTTCATATACGGCAGCGTTTTGGACCAGTGGTAAACAGAAGGGCTAGGTCATTCCTTTGCTCGACTCCTCGCCGACGCGAGCCTCATGAAGGGGGTTAACTAGAAGTAGTCTGACGTGTCTGTGTTGCTCCTGCTCTGATTTCGCGCGTTTAAAAACTGTAGTTTCATTCAGTTGCGAGACGATTTTCTGGAGGTCGCATTTCCCAAATTAATTTTAATCATACATATTTGTTTTCTAATAATTCAAATATTTAATAATTTGTGTATATTTAATAATTTGTATTATTTGTTATATATATATATAGTTTTAGTCAGTTTTCCTTTTAAATTCTATATTTAAAGTATCCTTTATGTAATATGGCTTCTTGTGCTGTAGCAACGTGCCGTAACACTTATAGTAAAACGAAAGGAAGAGATATTGTATTTCATGCTTTCCCGAAGGACAATTTGCTTTTGTCGAAAGAATGGATACATGAATGTCGAAGACAGGATTCTATTAATGTGGAAAACGCAAGAATTTGCGCGAATATTTTCTGTGCAGTGATTATGAAGATGACATGAGAAATCGCTTGCTTGGATTGCCGCAAAAGAAACTGTTGAAATGCAGTTCTGTGCCGAAAGTAAATTTATCGTGTGCAGTAAACGAAATAACACTAAGAAAACGGAGACATTTGAAAAGAAAACTAATGCAGAGTGCTTTTGAAAG